TCTGGACCAATCAGATCAGATGTGCGGAAGCTGTATCACGTCACTTCAGGGGGAGCCCTACAGCTAGGTGAGTCCCCATTCAACTAACATATTCTTGATAGTTCTAGTGTACCCTCCTCATGAAAATTCTACCCCAGATTATAAGAGCTACACAGATAATGTTCACCGTTGCTAGGTACATTACTCACTCAAAGGCAATCTCGAGAATTTTCATCAATACCAAATCCGTCACTTTATCCATCAGGCGATAGAGGCATGGTTCTCAGGGCCTATGGACTGATTAAGGCCATACGGAAAAAAAATTTAGACCTGACCAAACAGTAGTTGCAAAAGAAAACAACACAACCTAAAAATGGTTGCATAGTCAAGATGGTCTGTTTACTATGCAATAAGGGTGTATTTATCATGCTATATGGTGGGGCATCCAAATGTGAGCAAGTGAAGGGTCTGCTCTCATAGCAGCGGCCCCCCCATCACATTTCCCAAACTCATCCTCATGCTCAGTCGCTGAAATGTGTGGGCAACCATAGCGCCATGCTTACTAATCATAAGATCAGTAGGTTCTCCGATATTTGTCGAATGAGTGAATGAATGAATGAATGAATGAATGAATGAAGCAATGAATAAATCCCTCAATAGAAATATATTGAGTTTTGTTTTGTTTTTTTAAATCAGGACTTGTTGTTTAATAGGTATTGGCTTTCGATTTTGCAAGATAAAAAAGTTCTGAAGACTGGTTGTATCACAATGTGAATATACTGAACACCACTGAAATGTACTTAGAAATAGTTAAGATGGCAAATTTTGTTGTATAGTTTTTTTACCACAATAAATAAATTTTTAAGAAATCAAACCAACTATTAAAAATTAGATGTAAACATTTTAGGACAATTCAGAATAGACTTTTGATAGATATCTGAATCTTACTGGGATCACTCTTAAATTTTCATCAATGAAGTCCTGACTTCTTCAACACTTTATTTATTTATGATTATTATTATTATTAAATTTTTTTTTTCTTTTATTGATTTTAGAGAGAAACATCAATGAGAAAGAACATCAGTTGGCCACCTCCTGCATGCTCCTCACTGGGGATCAGGCCCACAATCTGGGTATGTGTCCTGACCGGGAACTGGACGGGCAACCTCTTAGTGTATGGGTCAGCACTCAACCACTGAGCCACACCAGCTGGACTTTGACACTTTTTTTTTGTCCTCACCTGAGGACATTTTTTGATATTTTGTTCAGATAGAGTGGGAGGGAGGGAGAGAGAGAGAAACATCGACGTGAAAGGGACACATGGAGTGGTTGCCACCTACACAACCCAACAAGGGCCGGGGACAAACTGCAACTGAGGTACGTGCCCTTAGCAGGAACCAAACCCGTCTCTCCAGACCGCAGGCCGATGCTCTAACTGCTGAACCAAACTGGCCAGGGCCAGTTTTTTAAAAAAATTATTTCTTATTTCTTTTGTGACTTCTGTTTTAGGGCCAGTAATTGACAGTTTGATTATTTGATTTGTTATCATCAGTGACAGAATTTGATGGCTTCAATTGTAAAAACAAAACAAAAGGCAATTTTATTCAATTGGGGAGGGGTCCCATAGTAGAGAGCAAAAGTGCTAAATTATATTTTAGCACATAATTGTCAAAAATTTTATAATTAGATCATCTTAAAAGTAAAGCAATTTTTTGCTTGCACAGGGCAGCGGCGACTCGCACAGGCCTGAAGCTAGCTGACCAGTTAACACCAGCTCCACCACTAACCAGATTTGCCTCTTTGTGCCAGTTTCCTCATCCTCAAAATGAAGATACATTTTAAAAGCTTAAAAAAGTGTGTATCTCACCTGTGAAATGGGAACAGTAATTTTCAAAAGCTTAAGCAAGAATTTCACTTTATTTAAGCAAGAACTTACCCCACTTTTGCAAACTGAAAAACAGAACTCTACTTTTAACAACAGGCTAAGTTTTGTGTTTTTTTTTTTTTTTTTTTTTAAATAACAGCAAATTATAGTAAGCAATATCTCTTTAGTGGATAATTTTATAATCATCTATGATCCCCACACTAAAAATTAGCCACTATTAACATGGTGTGTGGTACATACCAAATATAAGTATATTTTACGTTGTGCTTGTGTTTTATTTTTCTACTTAATGTATCATGGGCATTTTCTCAAATCAATACATACTTGGGGTTTCCTATCGATATCGAATAAAACCTAAAGTCCTTACCTTGTTCTAAAAGCACCAGTGAGGCCCTGGCCGGTTTGGCTCAGCGGTTAGAGCGTCGGCCTGCGGTCCTGAGAGACCCGGATTCGGTTCCCGCTAAGGGCGCGTACCTCAGTTGCAGTTTGTCCCCGGCCCTGGTCGGTTGTGAGGGTGGCAACCACTCGATGTGTTCCTTTCACATCGATGTTTCTCTCTCTCTCTCTGTTCCTCTCTCTCCCTCCCACTCTACCTGAACAAAAAATGGGGGAATGTCCTCGGGTGAGGATAAAAAAAATAAAATAAAATAAAAACACCAGTGAGATCCCGATTCTCCTGGTCTAACCTTAGCCCCTCTCTCCTTCCACTTCCGGCCTTACTCACTGAGCTCCATACACACTGGCCTTCCTGCTGTACTTTGGCCATGATCAGCGTGCGCTTGCCTCAGGGCCTTTGCATTTACAATGTCTTCACTTTCCCTCCAGATTTTCACAAGGCTCACTCCCACACTTCTTTTATGTCTCACCTTCTAACAGGTGAATACCTTATATGAAGTAGCGACCACTGTCTATCCCTTTGCCCTGTTTTATTTTTCATTATATTACTCATTGCTATGTAATATATTAGTGGTTAAGGCCTGTTTTTCCCAGTAGAATGTAAGTGCCACGAGGGCCAGGATGTGTCTGCCTTGTTTACTGTTTAATCCTCTGGTACTAGGTTCTAAACAAATATTTGTTGAATGAACAAATGAGTGAATTTTGCTCTAATTTGTAATTCCATGAGTGCACAGAACTCTGTTGCAAAGATGCTGCTTAATATATTTCACTGATAACCTATTTTGCGATTTTACAAATCCTACTGCAATGGGCATGCTTAAATACATTCTCTTAAATACTTCGGATGGTTCCTGCGGAAATAAGTTAGTGCAGCCGCTTCCTAACCATCCCCCTTCGGTTTTGTCTTCCTCCCACGGATTGCACCACAGCCAGACTTACATTAAATCACACTCCTTTCCTTACCCTGAATGTACAGAAGCTGGAGCCCAAACCCTGCATGCCGGCAAGTCCCTGTTTTGCCTTTGCACTCTCAAGTCCCATTACTACTCAGAAAAACATTTTCCACTTTCTTTTTTCCCCCCAATTTTTATTAACTTATTTTTGTTACAGATGTTTCTCCTTTTTCCCCGCTAGACACCCCTCTCCCCATCCTGCCCCTCCACCCTCCTGGATTGTTGTCTAAGTCCATTGGTTATGCATACATGCATATAAGTTCTTTGGTTCATCTCTTCCATCCCCCCCAGCCCCTACCCTGAGGTTTGTCAGTCTGAACCACTCTCCTTTCTATGTCTCTGGGTCTATTTCATTCATCAGCCCACCTTGTTCATTATAGTCCACAAATAAGTGAGATCAAGTGGTATTTGTTTCTCTGATTGGCTTATTTACATTTTCCACTTTCAACGATTTGCTCCTCTTGTCAGTTCCTCTATGTCCGTAGTTCCCTCTCACAGTCTGTGCTCCTGTTTCTTTACCTGCCCGAATGATGCCCATCTTCCAGTCCCCTACCCACCCTACTGATCTCGTCAGGCCTTCCTTGAAGGGAGTCTGCATGAGCTCTCACTCCTCTGAGTTCTCTGGACTGTCCTGCTGTTTCCCGCACCCTTCACTGCAGGTGACCTGGCCATCTGCCGCGTTCTAGCACCCGCCATGCTGCCCTTTACAATGTGCTGTTTCCTGAACCTCTTCCCCGTTCTCAAAGTCCTAACCACAGAACTGTAAGTATGTTCTCATTGTTGGCAAAGTCAAAGCTTTTAGGGAAATTGAGATAATTTTTTGAGGGAAGAAACAGGATTATTCATGATAAAACAATTTTGTCTTCACATATATTTTCTACCCACTATCCTTATATGAATAATTTGGACTCTTAAATTTCTACTTGCAGTCCTTATTAAATCACCATACAAAATATGTTTCTGACGATTTCTTGTTGTTTTAGACTTTATTATTTTTAGCATTATTATCTAATAATGTAGCTATGAAGTTATTTTTAAAGGAACATTTCCTGCCCTGGCCGGTTTGGCTCAGCGGTTAGAGTATCAGCCCACGGACCAGAGGCCCAGTTCGGTTCCCGCTAAGGGCACGTGCAGTTTGTCCCCAGTCCCAGTTGGGGTCATGTGGTTGACATCCACTGGACGTGTCTCTCTCATGTCAATGTTTCTCTCTCTCTTCCTCCCTCTCTTCCTCCCGCTCTAACTAAAGATAAATGCAAAAATGTCCTCGGGTGAGGATAAAAAAATAATAAAAAATAAATAAATAAAGGAACATTTCCTTCCGAAATTACTATGAAATCACGATGGAGCTGTATCTGAGTTATACAGATATTCTGGAGGTTTTGTATAAGGGACACGGGGCACTTGGAAAAATCACAAAGTGTGCCTTTCCTTTTTTCCCATTTTCACACATGAGGAATCAAGCTGAAATGAACAAAGAGAGCGCTAAGAAAGGAAAGACTATTGGAACCCCGGCAGCATGTATGTGAATGGGACGTGTGGGGGGAGGGAAGACGCGTCCTCGGTGCTGCTGCTGGGCACTGGGGACTGAGCGCACAGGCGCACGTCAGACGCGAGCAATACTGAAGGTGCGGTCATAAGCCACACACTTTTGCTTCTGAATCTCTGTAACTTATATTTTGATACTAAAGCCTCAGGTCTTTCTCTAGGTCCCCAGTGCTTGTGCTTTCTGGCTGCCTGGACTCTGGATCCTCCCAGGCACCCAAGGCATCCAGGCCAGTGCCACTCACCGTCTTCCTCGAAGAGAAGTCCCATGTGCCCCAGCGACTCGGCCGCTTTCTTCCCCCCGTCAATTTTGATCAGTTGAGCAATCTGAAAACATCGTTGGTAGAAGTGGTTCCTTACCCACTTGTCTTCAGGATTATTGAAGTAACAGGCCAGAGCATACAGGTTATTATAGACATCTTCAAAGTATTCTTCAAAGAGAGAAACACATCATAAACTGATTAGAAAAATGTCTCACTACACATCCCTTCAAATGGCAAACAATATAGTAGCATTTACTTTCTATCTTTCCTTAAAAACATGATTATTTAAAAACTTGAAATGGAAAAATTAATGTATATTAACTATTAAAATAGTTACATTAATTAAAGAGCGCACACATGAGAAAAGCAACAACAAATCTTTCCAAAAACTTAGCACATGTCAAAAATGGACATACCCTGTGGTTGAAGCACTAGACTTTATGTAAGACAAAAGACAATAATATTTGCTAGCAATGTGCTCAGTGCTTTAGGAAGAAATGAGTATGTGGTTATCATCAAATACTTTCCCCACTGAAGAATTAAAACGTATTTAGAGATTCCAGAGAAAGCAATGTTTCTTAACTGTGGCCAAAAGATAATGTAAATGAAGAAAGCTGATAGAATGTGGAAATGGCAAGGTTTTTCAAAAGAAAACCATCATGAGGCTTATAAAAAAGGATGATGATGACCCAATAAGCTCCATACACGTTCTAACAATGTTTCTAGCCTTATAAGTTACTAGTAATGTTAAGAAACAGTGAATTTCTACGCCTTTGTTTTCTATGACTACCTTTTTCTGCTAAAATGCATTAATACTAGTCATCCCTCTCATTCAGACAGTTATTAGTTTATTAGTTATTAGTGTATTAAAGGCCCCCCTTTCCCCTGAAGTGGCATCTGACCTATTTGTACTAAAAAAAAAAAAAAAAAAGTGTATTAATACATTGTGAATCAGTCTTACAAATCCCACTGCCATCAATCACAAACTTGAACACAAACATCGTGTATTAATAAATCGTGTCTCAGTCCTGTAAACTCCATTCTATTGGTGAATATGAACAAATTCATAATCCTTATGTCTTTTTGCATTTGTGCTGAAAGCACAGTTGTGAATATGTGATAGCCTCTGGATTACCTTTCCACGGATTTTTAAAAATAACAATCATTACTATTCACTGATATGTTCCTAAAAAGACTGCAATTATGAAAAATGCTTACACACTGCCCACTAGCATTCCTATAAGATTAAAATTAAAATGCTTAGAAAAATTGGAACTAAACTGACTAGAAAAAAAGGGAACACTCAAGAACTATACATAAGTCACGTCAATGTTTCAAGAGAAATTTCTAAAACCTAAGTCATTTCTTTACATATACTGCTTCACAATTCCACAGGAAATTAGATTAATCTCAAAATAGGTTTTATACTTAAAAATAAAGTAAAACAAAAGTCCACCCTGCCAGCCTCTTCTTGAAGGGGCTGGAGATTCTGGAGAGTCATTCTGCAACAGCATATGTGAAAAGTGGAGAATAATCTGAGTTATTTACTTAAGAAATCAATACTCTCATCTCAGACCTCACTGCCCTTATACTTAACCTTTCCATTCTGAATCTTCTTCCTAATGTGAATAGAGTACTAAAGTCTGTTTTGTAGTATTCTATGTCCTTTGTCATATTTAGTGATTAGAAAGTTCTTTTTTAAAGCCTGTAAGTAAAATAGTTTATATCTTCCATTTAAAAAAGATATGATAAGCTTTTAAAAAATATATGCAATGCTGAAATTACTGTTTTTCAATAATTAATAGAAAACTTTAATAGAAAAACACTTCTAACATTTCATAAATGAGGTTTTGTTTTTTAGAATGAGTTATATGTGCTATCAAATTCCACATTTAAAGACTACTTGTCAGCTAAGCTATTTTTCTATGGAAAAACTGAGTTTTCTTTTTTCTTCGGAGTATTAAGTATAATAGATTCAAGTTTTAATCTTCATGTGATCCAAAAATACAGCTTGTATCTTTTATTTATTATTTTATTTTAAAATACTTTTATTTTATTTTATTTTTTTGGTATGTGCCCCTAGCGGGAACTGAACTCGGGATTCTCTGGTCCACAGGCCGACGCTCCAGTTGCTGAGCCAAACTGGCCAGGGTGCCTGTATCTTTTATTTTATAAGCAGCCTTTAATCCATCCTTGAGTTGTCAGCAGGTACATTTATAAGATGGAAATAAATTTTATTGGTGGTTTATTATTTAGATCAGTATTTATTATGCTACCTAAAGAGGAGATATCATGATAAAATAAAATGGGGAAATGCTCTTGCTAATTTCCCTCTTTCAGTAAACCACACAATGCATAGGCATGGTAAAGGCTCTGATAAGTCCTGCAATAAACCAACCTGCTTAACATTAATATTAATTCACATGGTGTTTCTCAAACTTATTTCACCAATTATTTTTGTTTTGCTTCACATAAAACCAATCAACGTCCTGTGGACTCTGCTTGGGTCGAATTTACCTTGAGTATCTTAAGTAAATGTTAGCAGGAAAAAAATTGCTGTTTAACCCTTGACAATAATTTAAAGTCAAGTGTAAATAATGTTTGAATTATCTATTGATTCAGTTACCCATTACCATTACTGTCATCTCTTCTCTAGCCCTATAAGGCACAAGGCCTAATCATAATGTTACACTGGTACAGATTACTCACAACAATGGGTAATATAAGAAACATTATTAGGGACAAAGAAACACTTTAACAAACTGAAAATAATCCGAAAAGCAATGACTGGCTTACTTTAAACACTTCTTTGCTATAAACCAGAAAATAATGTTTTGTAAAATAATTTAAATAAGTCTAGGCTCCCACTCTGTAAGTCTCAAGAGACAGAACTGACCCAAGATGACTATTGTTAGTGCCATAACTTTGACAATATGAACTTCATGGTGACGCTCAAGTGATGGTGTTTCCATTGAGAAGAAATGAGAAGGCTCAGAGATAAGCTATTTCAGGATAAGTGTCTCAGATCCCACAAACATATGTGATGGAATCTTGAGATACTATTAACAGATATTTAGGATTAATCCACGTTTATAAAAGTGAATGTGCATATATTCCCTACCCATTTCCTGGGACAGTCTTAACTCAAGTAACTAGTTTTCCCCAACAAAGTTCATGTGTTAAATGTGTGTGTGGGGGGATTAACCAATGTTTGAAAAGAACATACAAATGTTTATATGTCCTTCAACTGAACTATTTCCAATAATATTATTGCAATAATTTTATTTTTCTATATTTCAATCAGGCAAAAGCCACTGCATTGTGAAAGAGATAATCCTACAGAGTTATTTTGAACAAGAGATAATTTTTTCCCATTTAACAAATGCAACTTTTGTTGCCATAAATATATAATAGAATACTCAGTAAAGAAAGCATTTTCGTGCCCTGGCCAGTTTGGCTCAGCGGTTAGAGCGTCGGCCTGCGGTCCAGAGAGACCCGGGTTCGGTTCCCGCTAAGGGCGCGTACCTCAGTTGCAGTTTGTCCCCGGCCCTGGTTGGTCGAGCAGGTGGCGGCCACTCGATGTGTCCCTTTCACGTCGATGTTTCTCTCTCTCTCTCTTCCTCTCTCTCCCTCCCACTCTATCTGAACAAAAAAATGGAAAAATGTCCTCGGGTGAGGATAAAAAAAAAAAAAAGAAAGCATTTTCGTTATTTCTACCACATGTATAAGATATTGGCTACTATAAAATTTGGACTTTGTTAATTTTTGGAATTGAAAAAACATTCTATTTATATGTATATTTACCTTTCTTTAATAAAAGATTATAAATTAAAATGTTTTCTACATAAAATAGACTATTTAGCATTTTAGTTTCTTTATAATTACAAAATGCTTTATGATAAGTTTCTCATACTGATGACACTTTATGAAGTGATGGAATTGGCTCATGTTTATTCTGCTCAAATGAAAGCCACTAAAGTGTTTAGCAAATATGATGATTCAACTTGAAAAAGCGACCACTGGGCAAATTTTATCTTGATCAATTCTATTTTCAGTGCAAATATTACTTCAGAATTTGGGACTGGTACTAGTATGCAGATTTAAAAATTTTTTTTTTAATTTTTAAAAGTGAATTTCTAGAGAAATTATATGTAAATCACATTTTAAAATTCACCAAAGTGCTCTATTTTTAAAGTCAATTCTACAGTTAAATGCTTTTCGTAATACAAATAATCACCTCCTATCTACACTCTCTCTCTCTCTCTCTCTCTCCTCCTAGTTCACTTATGGTGGCGGTGGAAGAATTTTTGTGTATCTCATATTTGTAAGTCAGGTCACAATCTGATGAGAACTATGTATTGACTCTACTGTACAGGCTGAAAGATTTCTGCTAATTCCGATGCTGTTTCCACGGCCCCATCAATTCCCCCACCGTAGCATCAGGTAACAAAAAGTTGCCAAATATTTTTTCATAGAAAGGCCTGAAGTGAAATGCAGACATTGTCATGCTGGGGCCTGACTTCTCTTTTTGAATCCTATAGTATTTTCACACAAAATGTTTAAGAAAAGAATAATTTAGAACACCAAATTTATGTCAAATTCTAGAATTTCTTGTCTGTGATTATATAAAATGACTAATCTCTAATATGCACCTCAGAAATACTTATGGCAACAATATCAGTATTTTGGTAGAGATTAAAATATTTTCTTCAATACTTGAAACACAGTGACTTTCTGGAAAATTTTAGGACACAACAAAAGGAATTTGTTAGAAATGACGTGTTGAAGCCCAGGCCGGTTTGGCTCAGCGGTTAGAGCATTGGCCCGCAGACCAGAGAGTCCCGAGTTCGGTTTCCGCTAAGGGCACGTACTCTGGTTGCAGTTTGTCCCTGGCCTCGGTTGGGGTCGTGTGGGTGGCAACCACTTGATGTGTCTCTCTCATATCAGTGTTTCTCTCTCTCTCTTCCTCCCTCTCTCCCTCCCACTCTATCTGAAGATAGATGAAAAAATGTCCTTGGGTGAGGATAAAAAAAAAAAAGAAATGATATGATGAAATGTATACAATTAACCATTTTATTCATAATTGTGAATGTCAGCTTTTCATGTCTGCTCACTATTTAGTAATAAAAATTCTGAATGAAATCTATAGAATTTACTGATTAAACCTTCAAGTTAATATAAATTTGAGTATATAAATACTAGGAAATCAGTATAATTTTCAACTTGTAGTGCTCTTTCAAAGTATCTCCTAAGTGAAAGTCAATTATCAGATCATGTGTAAAGGAAAACTATGAAAAGATTTATAATTAATGATACAGAAGATTTGAATACACTGGAAAGTCCCAGAGATGTTTTGGGTGCTGTTCCTTGTCTCCCCTGGTTTAGAATGGCATCACCAGGATGCCCGTGTCTGGGCAGCCTGGTGATTCAGGTTTCCCTGTCATTTAGCCTATAGAGATGCTTAGTTGACTAGGTTGAACTGTGCTGCCTTAATGTTGGAAAGTCTTTCATGAAACAGTTTGGAATCTTCCCTCCACTTACCTTTCCTTTCAGCCACCTCGGCCCTGGTCAGGTAATAGTAGAAGTGGTCCAGCTTGTCAGGCTGCTCCTCCAGGGGTCTCTGCAGCCACAAGATGGACCTGACCTTCGCAGCCTCCCTCAGGGCGTCCCACTTCTCCATCAGAGAGAAGAGCTCGGTGAAGGACTTGTGATACCCGTCTCGCAGCATGTCCACACAGATGTTCTTCTTGTACGAGTTCCGGTAACTGGGAATGAGAATCAGAAATCAAAGTGTTATTTTAATTCTTGAAATCTGTGCAGTGTTCTTATCCAATCAGAATTAAAGGGTGAATCATGCTGCCCATTTTTTCCCTCAGTGAAAGCACTGAAAATTATCTTTGCCTCAAACACTTACAACTGAACAACTTCAGTTTAATGAAAGATGCCAGGAGCTATCGAAATACAGTAGTTTTAAGGAAATTACATTATAAATATATTAGTTCTAGAGCTAAGTTCTCTTTGATAAGGACAAATAAGCCAGTTGACTGATGTCTAAGTCTGTTCGAGCTGCTATAACAAAATACTACCGAGTAGCTTATAAACAAAAGAAATTTATTGTTCAGAGTTCTGGAGGCTAGAAGTGTGGTCGCCTTCTGGTAAGGCCCTCTTCTCGGTTCATGCTGGTGCCTTCATGCTGTGTTGTGTCCTCACACAGTGGAAGGAGCTAGGGATCTCTCTGGAGCCTCTTTTATGAGGTACTAACCCCATTCATGAGCTAAGCCCCTCCCAAAGGCCCCATTAACTAACACTTGGGGGATCAGGACTTACTTCAACATATAAATTTTGGGGGACATGAACATTCAGACCATAGCAATTGACAATCCAAAATTATTTCACATGCAAGTCTTTCACTAAAACAAAACAACCGATAAGCCAAGCAAAACATGTCACTTAATATCAAAGCAATGCACTCTGAAGTAAATGCTTTCAATGTATGTTATGGAGGCTCATTCATTCATTCATACAGAATATGTTTATTGAAATTTATTACTAAATACATTTTAAATGTATTTTTAAATTATTTTAAGTTTGGATTACATTAATGATTTGTTAGATTAATCTTTCACTGCTAACTTAATAATAAATCATAGGCAAGGAGATAAAGTGACAAGTGAATATTCTAATTATTTATGTAAAAAATAGCTGTTGAGTTTCCTACTAAGTTCCAGGCACTGTTCTAGCCCAAATCGGTTCAATGCCCTGGGGTATGTTTGCATTCTCGTGGGAGAACACAACCAACAAATAAATAAACAAATAATAAATAATTTCACTTGATGAAAATTACCATACAGGAAATAGACAGGGTTATAGAATAACAACTGCGTGGTAGCTATTGTTACTCTAAACAAGAAATTAGAGGCCAAACAATACAGATTTGTATTAGTTATTTTACATTCTTCTTTTTAAATAGCAGACAATTAAATATTTAGAACAACAGACTTGATACTATTTGCAATAAAAATTTCAGTGTGGCCCTGGCTGGTTTGGCTCCGTGGTTAGAGCATTGGTCTGTGGACCAAAGGGTCTCAGGTTCAATTCCAGTCTTAGAGCACGGACCTGGGTTGCAGGTTTGATTCCTGGCCACGGTCAGGGTCATGTGGGAGGCGGCCAGTCAAGGTCGATGTTTCTCTCCCTCCCTCCCTCTCTTTCACTCTCTCTAAAAATCAATGGAAAAATATCCTTGGGTGAAGATTAACCAAAAAACAAAAAATTTCAGTGTGGGTACTGGACGGGTAGCTCAGTTGGTTGGAGTGTCATCCTGTACACCAAAGGATTGTGGGTTCATTCCCAGTCAGGGCACATTCTCAGACTGTGGTTTCAATCCTTGGTCAGGGTGCAAACGGTAGGCAACTGACTGATGTTTTCCACATCAATGTTTCTCTCTCTCTCTAAACATCAATAAAAACATATCCTTGGGTATGGATTTTTTACAAAGTTCAGTGTGAAGTGGAAATAGCCTAGAATTAGTCAAAACATCTAAGGTCTGGCCCTGGCCAGTTGCTCAGTGGTTAGAACTTCGGCCCGTGGACCAGAGAGTCCCGGGCTCGGTTCCCGCTAAGGGCACATACCTCGGTTGCAGTTTGTCCCCAGCCCCATTTGGGGTCGTGTGGATGGCAACCAGTCAATGTGTCTCTCTCTTGCATCGATGTTTCTCTCTCCCTCCCTCTCTATGTGAAATGCAAAAAAAAAAAAATGTCCTTGGGTGAGGATAAAAAAAAAACATCTGAGGTCTGATTCAGAATTCTTGGTTCTATGAAATCTCCCTGACCTCATTTCTTCTCCTCTGTGAAATGTGTATATTAATATATGCTGTGCCTACATCACAAGATTCTTCTAAGAACCATATAAAAATATGGTTTTGAAAATGATCTGGGACACATGAAGTCCTGCCCTATGGGCTCTCAATCCTGGCCATGCAAGAGAGTCACCTGCAGAGTTTAAAAACAAAACAAAACAAAAATGCCCAGGCTCCATCTGCCAAGAATTTATTATTATTATTTTATTTCTCACCTGAGAATATGTTTTTATTAATTTTATTCTTTTTTAGAGAGAGAGAAACATCAATAGGTTGCCTCCCACACGTGCCCCAACTGGGGATGGAACCTACAACCTAGGTATGTGCTCTGACCAGGAATCGAACCCACAACTTTTTGGAATACGAGATGATGTTCCAACCAACTGGGCCACTCAGCCAGAGCAAGAACTTCTCAGTGAGTGGATCAGCTAAGGTATGAAACAAATACATGAAGAGCTGGTGAAAAGGACGGTGGAGAGAGAAACATTGTATAAAGGCAGGACCCAGATCCTGAAGAGACCTTAAAGTCATGCTAAGAAGTTTCGACTCCTGGCTGGGAGTGAGGTAGAGCCGTTGAAGGGACCGAGTCAGGGATATGACCCGATGAGATTGCATTTCAGAAAACTCTGCAAGGAGGGTCCAGCTGCACTGCACCTTCCCCCATCTGGCAGCCAGGCAGGGCACATGCTGTCACAGGACTGGTCCATAGAGGGAATAAGGAAACCACATTCCTAGGCCAAAAGCTGAAAAGCCACCATTTTGGATAAAACAAAACGAAACAAAAAAAATATTTAAAATGGGGAAGAGAGAAGAAATTACATATTTGCGTTTCTGCCCTGCAGTCATGGAGAGTACGGAGAAGCAGGAGATGCTGGGAGGGCCATGTCCTCTCTCCTCCCCTCCCCACAGTGCCAGCGGTCACAGGAAGGGGGCTGCCCACTGGGGACGGAAGGACAGCTATAACTGAGAATGAGGAGCACTGAGGAGCTACCGAAGGAGGCAGGTCAGTGTTACTTCCAGAGCTGACGGAAAAGGGTGGATGGAGAGCATCAGAGGTAGGCACCTGTACAGACCCCATGGACTGGGAGAGCACTCAACTACGAGTAACGTAGTTGCCTAACGTTGCCTTCGAAACCAGAGACTTCTCTTTCCCACAGCACAAGATGCCTAAAGGGATGCAGCTACTGGCCTTGGTGCAGCGGCCTGGCAAGTCCAAGGCTCGTGCCTCTGGGATTATTTTACTCTTTCCCTCGAGCTTGTCCCCTGCTGGTCACTGCAGGGCTACTCCAGAGCCACATGATCATTTCCACCTTCAAGGCAAGAAATAAAGGGGAGAATGGGGCTGAATTTAGGCATGAATTGGCTCAGAGGAAAAGGACAAGACCTGGAATGCTTAAAGGGGTCTAGGTAGCGGCTGTGTCTTTCCTATTATTGGGAAAAAGAGAAACATTTCTGCAACTACTAGCAGATGTCTACTTTGGTGCCACTGGCCACAAACCTGTCACGGGGCCACCCTGGCTCTAAGGAGACTAGAAAAACAAATGTCCTGCCGGTTCTAGAGCATCTTGCTACTCTAAACAAAACCAGAGTTACGCTGGCAAAGAAGGGAGAAATGGATCATAGACGAGCAAAGGCAGTGTCTGTCGCCAGGCCCTCGGTCCAGATCTGAAAGTCGGTGCTGATGAAGCCACATTCTCGGGGCTGCCACATAAAACCGGGCAGGGTGCCCAGGTGAACGGAAAGTCCTACCGGGGAACTGGAGGACAGAAGGGGGATAAATAGAAGTAGGTGGATTCAACACATGGTTAGGAGATAAAAATATTGATTACTTGATCAATTAGTGAATGTTGGGGGTGATGAAAGGGAGGAGCTGGGGTGAAACTGGGGTTTTAGAGTGGGTCATTGTCAATTTGCTAAAGAGGGGAACACAGAAAGATTAACAATTTTGGGGAAAGATAATGAATTTGGGTTCAGATAACGAGTTTGAGGAGCCTAAAAGGACATCCAAGTGGTACCCCCAAAAGACAGTTTTGGGGTGGTATAGGAGGTCTGTGAGGACAAGGTGCTGGAAATCCAACCCTGCTTCAATCAGTGACATTTCTGTAGGTTTATGCCTCGGCTGCCAAGATGTTTTCCTATGAGTGAGGAGAGCATTTTGGAGCAGAAATAAAGGATATTATAAATAAAAGTGAGACTATTGATTTTAAACAATAAAAATAAACACTGGATAGGAGGCCATCTCATTTCTAATCCCAGCTGGGACAGAAATGCATAAAACCACTCCCTGAGCCTTACTTCGTCCCCTGGAAGGGGAGGCTGACTTGGTTGGGTTGGGTCCGACCAGCACTGCAAAATACAGTTAGAACTGGCTGGTCCCACACTGTGTCCTCTTGGTTGGACTTGACTTCTAAGTCTCCCTAGCCACAGGTGTGTCTGTGACCCAAATTAAGCCACTGGCCTCTCCCAGGATTCTGAATCTTGAGGGAAGAAACACAAAAGTGTAGAAGGCTGTTGGAGCTCAAGCAGCCTGGCATGGACACACCCACAGGAGTCTCGAGTAGGTCTTGCCGCCTGGACCCCTTCAAGCGTTCCAGGTCTTGTCCTTTTCCTCTGAGCCAATTCTCCCCTAAATTCAGCTAGTTCCCTAATATCCTGCCAATAAAATCATTTCCACTTTATTTAGTCAGAATCAGTTTCTGCTATCTCTGACCAAAGAACACAAAACTGGTTTAGAAGGGACTGGACTACACTTGTTTCCAAAACAGCGTTCAGCCTCAAAACACCCACAATATAACTAACGGCAATTTTTAAAATTTCAAGTACATTTTTAAAATAGACCATTCTTTGCAGAGCAGATATCAAATAGGACTGTATTTTAAAATGCATATATCTATTTTATACACACATATG